GATGAGTGCTCATGGGCACAGTTGGAATTGTGGTGTGGTTTTGGCTGCAAGCCTAGGAAAGATCCCACCATCTGCATTTGCTGGTTGTGGTGGAACCCATGAGTCAGAGGGCTGAGACTGTGGGAATGGTGAGGAAAGCTGTTCCTGCCCTTCCTTTGGGATGAGAGCAGGGGTTTCTCCGGTGACTCTGAGCTGCACATTACAAACTGCTTTAAAAGCAGGAGTATTTTGGGTGTTGTGCTCCTGAGAAAGCCAAGTAGATCATTGCCAGTGCCAGAGAGTGCAGGATCAGGCCTTCCCAAATCTGCCAAGGGCAGCTGCAGAATTTCAGAAGCCATTTCCAAATCCCAGTGGTCCCTGCTGCATCCTTCCCACCTGCCAGCCTGTTCCCTGTCTTCATGCTCTGCCTTCAGGACAAAGCCCTTTGCCTGCTGTGACTCCAGAGCTGATTAAAAACCACCATTCCAGCCCAAAAAGACACCTCCCCTGTGGTGACAGCACTGTCAGCTGGAGGGATGTCCTTGCTCCCTGCCTGGAGCATTCCTGGCAATCCAGGGCTCTGGGAGGGAAGGCAAAGAATGGGAGTTGCTGTGTCATTACCAGGCAACCCAAGAGGCCCTGGAGAACAAACAGGGTGTTCAGGAGACATGAAGAGTAAAACAAGAGATGTGCTGCAGGGTGTGCACGGAGCCTGCTGGGAGGCTCAGCCACAGGCTGGAAGGATGCTCTGGTTTCATCCCGGATAACCCTGGCTCACTGAAGCAACCTGGAGCAGAAAAGCAACCTGGAATATCATGGGAGCCCTGGGCTGTTTGTAGGCGATGTGGGATAAATTGTATGTGGTAAAGTTTCCATGGAAACGCTGCCCTGCCTGGGTTCTGCAGCAGCTCTGTGATCATGGAGCTGATCCGGTTTGTTGTGGGCGAGGATTTGTCTGTGAAACCAGATCCCTGAGGATGCTGATGGGACGGGACAGATGTTTTTAATTCTGATGTGTGGCTTAGCCCTTCTTC